ATCGCAAAACAGCCGAGCATACACCCAGCAGCGCTGCTGATGCCTGCATGGTATGTGGAATGAAGTGGGCGGGCATCGGGAGGCCACTATGGCATGGGGCAAGCACTATGGGCAGTCTATCTGAAGTGTACCTGGCGTATAAGACGACCCCCCACTTGGAGGCATATTTTTCAGGGCCAAAAAATCGTCTTATACGCCGGCAAATACGGTATTAAATAAATGTTAGCTTCTCTCCTATATTTTCCAAAATTCCATATTTCATTGGTATATCATTTGTATTGTCTTATTTACTATCCAATTCACAGTTTATGCTCATGGTAGAGAAGAGCTATATATATGGTTCTGTTACTTGTAGACATTTTGAGAAAGAAATGTTGACCCTGAACCTCTTAACTATCAGGTAATGAAAATCAAAGGGGCAGTCTTTTACTTTGGGGAGTGATAAAATTACACAAGTAAATCTTTTGACATGAATCAATGTTTCTGAACTTAGTTATCAATTTAAGTCCTCTAAGGGGCCTTTTTGGATTTTTTTCTGAATCACCCCTCCAAGTTCTAATATCACAGATATAGTGTATATGTACTGTGTATGTATATGTGATTTAAACATATAAAGTGTACTTTTTTCCTCTTTCTCAGAATATAATACATTTTCTCCCTTTTACAAGTCAATATGGCCTCCATTGAGAATATATGGCATCAACCAAACTGAGTTATGGAAATACTTACCTTGGCCATCATCATCTTAAATGCAAACCACCGCTTTCCTTTTCCTTTCCCAAGAGCTCCTTCATTCTCACTCACAAATTTTTTTGCTTCCCTAAGAAAAGAAAACAAAACAAAATAAGGGGTGGGTGGGGGTGGATGGAGATTAATAGAATATAGAGGTAGTGAACATTTAATTTTATTAATTTCTCAATCTTTTTTCTTCCAAACCCTTAACAAGTGAATCTAAGCTGTATTTCATGACCTATGGACTTGTAATGAATATTTAACATTTTTAAATTTTGGCCAGTAAGAATAAGATATTTTAGTCTAGCTTATTTATCAGCTGAAGTCATTGAAAAGTAAGGAATTTATACTGAATGTCAAAATAAAGAACCCAAGCTCTTCTCATTTCTACCACATATAAAATTGAATCTGAACTTTATTTCAGATTTTGGCAGTCAGAATGTTTATTTTAAAATACTTTCTTTCCTTCTTTTTTAAGGATTATTTTTTTTAAAAAAAAATAGGGCAGAGAGTTTAGGACAAACTGACATGCAACATACTTATTGACCTGGTATTTAATCTTGTAAAAGGAATTATGAGTTAAAACAGAAAAATCACATTATGTAAAGCAATGTGATTGAGGGAAGAGGAAAATAGAAAGGAATCCTCAACACAGACTTAGCCCTGCATTTAGATAGGGCTTCAAATTCATACTTTACCATAATTTCCAAATATTTATTTACAGTAGTTATATTCGTCTATTTGTTAAAAAACATCAAAGTGGGTAATATAAACATGCTAGAGGCCCGGTGCACAGATTCGTGCACTGGTGAGGTCCCTCAGCCTGGCCTGAGAGGATTAGGCTGAAACCAGCTCTCCAACATCCCCCAAGGAGTCCCGGATTGCAAGAGGGTGCAGGCCAGGCTGAGAGACCCCACTGGTGCATGATCAGGGCCAGAGAGGGACCACGGGAGGTCTCCAGGGAATGTTCAGTCCATCTCGCTCAGTCCTGATCCACCAGACCCCAGCAGCAAGCTAACCTACTAGTTGGATTGTCTGCCCCCTGGAGGTCAGTGTGCATCATAGCAACTGGTCAAACAGTCGAACAAACAGTCGGACATAGCATTTTAGGCTTTTATTATATAGTATTAAAAATGTACACTATTTATAACTTTGGTCAATTTTGTTATTGTTGTTTATTTGATATATAAAAAATCTTTATAAAGTAGAGGTGGACCAGGCTTGTTTTGACATCACAGGGGCCATAGAAAACCCAAGAGATAAGCTAGACCTGGACTGTGATCATACAGGTGCAATGCTGTTGTCAGCTGGATGGCCCCTGGAATATGCAGTTTTACAGATAAGACCATTCAACACATGACTATAAATAAACTTATTAACAAACAAAATAAATCTTGAAAAATAGAAAAAGTCAGTGAAGGATTATTTGTAAGGTGTTCTTAGCACTGAACTCATGATTTTATGATACCCAGTGATCAAAACACAACACACAGCCACTGACACAGTCTATAACTAGACAGTGGTGCCTTACTGCTCACGTATGCCTTTGCACCACCCACATTCTGCCATTAAACACACAAGCACAAGGAGAAGATTCTTTGCAGCCATCACCTTCCCACCCCCCACCCCAGACCAATTTCTTGATGGCATGGACAATATCTTCTTCTGTAGCTCCCACAGTGTTGACCACCACTTTGACTATAGGAGGTGCTCAATAAACCTAAACCTCCTGCAAATAGAGCTAAATAGCATAACTCGGGGTAGATATCTATATATAGACAGGGGAGTATGTAATAATCGTATTTTCCAACATCAATTAATGCTTGAAAACAAAGTCATTCTAGGCTTTGGTATTATACTCTTCCTCATTAGTCTTCTCAAAAACTTCATAGGGGAGCCTCCTAGAAATGGAGAAAAGTTACTAGACTGGCCTTGTTGTCAAACACCCTGACATTGGACATGACCTCTGGGATGTGAAGAGTCATTGAAAATGGCTTCTAAAACATTCTACACATTCTAAAACATCCAACAGAGCCACATCAAAAAGAATAAACTAAGTTCTCATGGCTGGGTTTTAGATTTATGCAATCAAGAAAACATATCACATGTAAGCATTACCTGTCCATCATGGAGATGATAAGACAGGAGTGTGGCACCTAGCAGACATTTATAAAATGTTGAACTGATCTAAACTCAAAATCAGGTAATGATTCTAACTCAGTCTCTGAGATTTGTCTCTGTCACCTTGGCCACATTTCTGATGCTCTCTGTGCACACATTCATCAGTCCTGCTTCTCACAAGAAAGCACACTTGCCCAAGACTCACAGAGCCCTGAGCAAGTTCTGGCACAGGTCCCTTTAGTTACTGTGTGGCCTCTCACAGGTCAGAATTCCCCAACAGATAAAAATCAGGCAATTGCTTCCCTCGCTGCTTCCCAGGATGGTGGCAAGAATAAGGTAAGATCACAGATGTGAATGTTTTGAAGGGTTTATTGCACAGTCAATCCTACAGTAATGTTTGTTTTGAAACTGCAAATTTGTTCTAGTATGATTGATAGATTATGGAACAATTTGAGCGTAACACAAAATTTTGTTTGCTTATATGTGATTTTATCTACAAAAAAAAAAACAAAAAAAAACCACCAAACATACACTGAGAGAATGCCGAAAATTGCATCCAGCTAAACCTAGCAGTGTGAGAATAAACAAAATGCACAGCCCTCATCTACCAGCTCCCTGACTGTACCATCTAATTTAGCAAAACCACATCCATTCACAGCTGGTGCTACACTGACCCTCCTTCCACACTTTACAGTAACACAAATTGCAACCCTGCTAAAGCACTTCCACAGCAAACTGCGGGTCTTTTTCAAAGTAAGCTGCCACATTTAGTGTAGAATTTATGTATTTCTTAACCATTTAGGCGTAAAATGTTGCTGTCATTTTACATCTGTCTTTCTGTGTGTCACTGAAGACATTTCTGAGTATTGTACCCCTCTTCCCATTTTTACTATAAATCCTATGGTTTTCATTGCCCGATTTTGCATATCGTAGTGAGTTTTAGGAATCCATACACCATGTTATATAGTGGAACTGACTATAATTCAATTACTTGGCATCAAGAATTTTTAAATTCATAAAACCAGTTATACATAGGAATTGTCACATCATTCTCTATTATAATTAACACATAAGTAGCAAATCAAAAATCTTCATAGTAAAATTTGCTTTTCATATGTGTCAAGTCCCTATTTTATGGGTGTATTCACTACTCTAGATACTTAGCAGATAATTGAAAAGATACTCAGTTTGGCCTATTAGAATTCTATTACTTACTAGATGAGTGGCTGGTTAGAAAACTAGACTTCTCTAAACAGTCAGAACTGTAAAAAAAAATAGCTATTCTACTCTATATTTCTGACAAGATTTTTAATTGTGAGCTGATGATTTTGATACAGAAACAACTATCATGATTTAAGAGAGAGAGGAAAGTCAGGGTTATAACCAAATTAAAATCACCAGAAAATTTCTTACAAATTCATTTAACAATATAGAAACTTATTTACATGGCAGTCATAGGTTTTTGTCATTTATTATGAACATAATTTTCCTTTGAACAATCTAAATGAGATTTTATTGATTGTCTCCAATTGCCAAGTTGTCCTGATGTTAGGCATAGTTTCAAATTCCTAATGACTACCCCACACTGCCCTCAATATAAAAGTCTGGACTTCACTCTACCACACATAATCTCAGATATGAATTTATTCTCTTCCTTGATATCCTAACTCTTCCTCCATTCTCCAAGAGATCTGCCCCCAAATTTAATTCAAAAGAGATCCCTGAACAGCCTTTCTACCTCCTCCTGCTCCCCACTACTCATCCTGGCCAATATAACTACTAGTCTCAATTCATCAGGAATCTGGGTAATGACTTTAAAACAAAGTCAGCAGCCATGGGTGGGTAGAGGGTAAGTGTTTAGTGAGAACTGACTCTTGATTCCCCTAATTTGATGCTCTGGGGATGTAAGGAAGCACTCTTGCTGCTCAAAGGCCTAGAAGAAAGAACACTGGACTGCATGTGGTCAGTGACTCAAGGAGAGAACATGCCTTACACTGTTTCCACCACTGACCTTTGCAGTGAGCTGGCAGGATGTCAGGATGAAGAAAACAAGCATCACCCAATCCCTCCTCCCTGATAACAGATTTCTACACCAGAAGACATCTTTCATTGTGCTTTTAGAAGCAAAATGCAAAAAGAAACCATCCAAAACAAAGATAAACACTGACTGATAGTTACCACGCTGAAGTGCCCGTGACACATCAGAATGCAAGAAAAGAAAGAGCAGTGTCTTTGAAAATTAAAAAGCAAGAACATTTCTTCATATTTTTCTTAATCCATTTTCCTACCATTTTATATTTATCTGGATAACCTAAAATGATTTTTCCACGTGGCTAAAATTGAAGTAGACTTCTGTGGATAAACTTTGAATACCCGCTGGCCTCACACCATCCAAATTTCTGACTGAAAAATGTGTGTCATCCCCTTGAACTGCATTCAACAAAAGCCACCTGCCAAGACTATGAGCTGGTCTCCAGGTCTCAGAGCTCAAGCAAGCGCTGGTATAATAGGCACAGCTCTCTGAGCTGTAACCCCAGACCCAGGGATAAATAATTGAGTGAGGTCTATTTAATGACAATGATACCTGGCCTCATAATTCATTTATCAGCCCCTCCTGTTGGTAATCAGAATAATAAGGTTTCATGGGCTTTCAAGAATACTTTCACAGTTAGGTGAAGGAGCACACTTTGGCCTAACTTACAAAACAGATAATTTACCCATAACACATGATACCACCCTGACTTTCCAGGGGAGTTAGGGCTTGCTAAATTGCCTTTGATACATTCTCATCCCAGGAAACATGTTCCCTGTTTGGGTTCCATTAAGTTGACTTTTCTTTCCTCTTGTTTTCAGTTTCATGGTATGATTGAGCAACTGATTTATTGCTGAGTAAATGAGAGACATTTCAAAACTTATCTTTAAAGCAACTATAATAAAAACTTGTATTCTTGAACACTTCCCAGCAAA